CAAAAAGCACAGTTCCCTCATCAATTTGAAAGTTGTTTATATTGTTATAATATAATTTGCCATGTCTCTTTAACGTGAGATGCATTAATGGAGGGCTTCTCTTTCATGCAACTAATATGGAAAGAGCTTTATCTTATGTGCCGAAATTAGAGATGCTCTTCGTAACTTACTGTTTGGAGGTAGATTTTAATTCAGTGAAAGAAAGGAACACSATGTTAATTTCAAAATAAACCAACAAAAGTAAACTAAATTTTAGCTATGTGGTTATATGACTTCCTAAAGTATTCTTCAGGAGGGCAAAGCACACTTACTTCACCACTTCAGATAGATTTCTTTATGGATTGCTTAATATTAAAAAGAAAAACTAAATTCTGAAAAATATCAGTCAAATTTGAGGGGCAGCTCTTGGATGCCATAGAAACAACACCGTGCACTGTCCTAAAATGAGCATTATGGTTATGTCTACAGCATGTTAGTTCCAAAAAGGAACTCCTACCAATTTCCCATCTTTCTCATCAGGAAACAGAAGGGGAGATGTGAAATGAATTTTCAAATAAATAGGAAACAAGGGACAGGCGAATCTATAGAAACCAGCAGTTGTAAATTGTAATTCACTCCAAGCACAGGACATTCTGGTTGTTCTAGCAGCAAGCATCAAGACTACATGGACAATTCAGGTTCAAATTGCTTTCTGATGTCTGGAGCAGAATGAGCTGCCAGTAGATAAACACAGTGGGATTTAACTCCACTAATTTTAGATATCTAGTAAAGATAGGCTCCCTTTGTGGTCAGGAGAGAGAAACAGTCATCTGCAGAGTGTGATTCATCTGACCTGCTTTAGATGCCAACAATTTGGATAGTATGATGTCTGCATGCGGTCAGATGAAGACCACCCATCATGTCATATTTAATATCTCTTTGTTCAAGGAGAGAGAACTGGAACAGAAAGACATCTCAGGACATGACAACTCCCAAGGTTGGAAAAATTCAAACATAGATGAAATTTTTCAGTTGTCTCCCTGGAGACAAAATTTTAAAATAACTTAGTTAACTCAAAACTTTATGGTCCATCTTCATAGTGGGCAGCAGATGCTGGAAGAATAAGTTTCAGCAACTGCTAATACAAATCAGTTTCCCAAATGCTAATTCAGACTTCTGATTTTTGTTTCTATGATGGAGCTATTTCCCTCTGTCACTCCAGGCATTAAGTCTGACATCACATACAGTCAACAGAGAGAGGTAGCTACAGCTGGAAAATAGTCCTCAATACCTCATTTGGACCTATGCAGTGTTGTGGACTGTATATAACTACTAACTTAGGCACCAAAGTAGAATGCCTAAAATAGTCTTCATACCTTTTTTTTTTTTTTGTGCAAAATGAGTGAAATCTAAACACGGAACTCAAATGCCTCCACAATCAGAACAAGACAAAATCTGAATCCAGGTTCTGAAGTTCAGTCTTATGTCCTTGTTTTCTTATAACATCTCTTGGACTCTTAAAATATAAAGAAGTCTACTGTCTCTAGTTTTGAGCTGTATAATGTTTTAAACACATCTGAAACCCTCTTTCTGCAGTGTTTGACTTCTCCCTTTCCCAACCTGTCTACATTCTGTAGCACAGACCTCCACCGGCCCCGCAAGACCTCAGCAGTCCCCTGCTCTGTGAAGAGGTTAAACAAACAGGGAGATTCCTCAAGGGAAGTCACAGGTTCAAGACCACAAAGGATGGCCGCAGTTGGGCCAGTTGGAGGTTTTTCTTGCTATTGTGCTTATCTGTATCTTCACTGTCATCCAGACRTTAACCTCTGACCCATGAGCCTGCCTCTCGAAAAAGCCTTGCGGTGTTTCACTATTATGTAATGTCTGTGCTTTTGTGGAAATTTTACAGAAACAAATGGAGGAAGTTTGCCAGTCAAACTGGTGGACAATAAATCCTGTCCCATGTAGATGGAATGGTTTACTGTCACTGTAAGGTTGCTCCTGGCATCGGTCATTGAAGAAATGTTTACAGATTTCAACATGCTGGAGTGCCAAAGTATTCATGTACTGAAGAACTATACASGTTTTTTATAACCATTATTGTACTAGATGCAAATATCTTTTTCTCGATGGCCTGAATAAACAGAATGACTGTGTTTAAGACAATTCAAGGCCACTAATGTCTCATTTGGCTATCTATTCATCTCATAGATTCATGAGTATCAAAATACCAGTTTGCTATCTGTAATACTTTTACTATAAGTCAAACCAGGTAATGAAATCCTATTCAGATCACTTCTTTTCTTAAAAAGAAAAAAAAAAAAAAGAAGTCTTCCTGCAATCCCTGATCTTCTGCATCCTCAGTTTTCTTTAGTCCTTGCTGCTCCTCTTCAGACTTCTGCATTACTTCCCCTCAGGGACAGGATTTCATATTGTGACCTTTTAGGACAATGTCACCACAACAGGTTCTGCTGCTTGACTGGGGCTACCACGAAGCAGCACTTACAATGTTAAGACAATAGAAAAATTATTTTGGGTAATTAGCAGGAACAAACAAAATTTGAAGTGGGACAGAGTACAACTCTTCCAGCACAGCACACTAACCTCTCTGACTGATTCTCCTCATTAAGGGCCTGATTCTGCTCCCACTGAGCACAGCTTGTTGATTTCAATGGGAATAACACGATGTCTTACAGATTCATTATAATTAAGTTTTCAAATCTCATTTCCTTTCAATGGAGAGAAAACATATTGTTGTGACTAAGCTTTGGATGTGGTAACAAATCCCTGGCAGGTTGATCTGTTTTAACGGACGTGTTAGTTTTAAGGAAACTTTTACCATCCTTTCTGCCCTTAATCACAGCTTTTATTACAATTACAGTAATGCAACAGATGTACATGCCAAAGGCAATACGTGTATTTTTAATGAGTTGACATGCAACCTTCCTGGAGAGGAAGAACAACTTCTTTGCTCAACATTTCTGATCCATAGCTAGCAGTTTATTATAGGACAAGAAATCCACCAGAACTATATTTATCACAAACTCAGAGGCTCCTCTAACTCACAGATGAGCARTTCCATAAAACAGCCTCTGTTGCCGTGCTAGATTTAGAAACTTTTGCTGAATGGCTACATTTTCTATTGTCTACAAAGAATAGAAAAGAAGGTTAACAGGCAATATCCGGAAAGCTGTAAGATTATTAATCCATGCATGTGGTCCTGAGTCACTGGGGCTGTAAAATATCACCAGTTTCCAAAGATGAAACCAAAGAAGAATTCTGCTCAAGCCAGATGATATTACAAGCCCAAAGGAACCAGTAAGCCCTACTGATGAAAGTTTTACAAGACAGACTCACAGAGATTTTCATTCTTGTATAATGAATTTAGTCAATAAACTGAATGTAGACAGAGATCACATCACACAAGATGCTACAGCCTGGTTTCTTGCTTCAGTTTTACATCTTAGCCACAGGACAGACACTGGTGCACACAAAAATTACGACAGGCTGACACACAGGCAAAAAAAAAAAATGTATCTACACCAGGGGACTACAAGAACAGGTTGAAGACTTGGGTACACGCAATCCATGTGCTGAAGCATTCCTGGCATTGTTGTGATCCAGGCCAAAGACCATTTCCAGTACAGGCCAGGATGTGGTTAACCTCTTTTGAGAAGTAAGAGCTTATCTGTGTGGTACAGATGTGACCTTGCAAATCTTCACATAACCATAACCTTCTCTAAGACAAAACTGTCAAAGTACGGGTGACTCTATGGATGTTTTCATCACAATAAGAAGAAAATAGTACATAGTATCCAAAAATGACAACAAGTCAATAGGAACTCAAGCAGCAGACAATATGATTTGTATTAATTGTTTAAATTATCGAGGAACCTGATTTGTCTGTGTATAGAATACTGCAATGAAAAAAAAAAAGCAGTATTATGTTGAGTTTGTACAATACACAAAGAACTGTCTAGGTCTGACAATAAAAATGCTTGCTGTCCATCTTGCCTACAGTCTCTGCAGTCCTACAAATGAGTCTCCTATATGGGCCAACACATTCACAGACATGCCCCGAAGCTGAAGTCCTTGCAGTCACAGAGCTACTGTGGCAAACCTGCCTGGATAATGGGCAGGAAGAATTACCTGAGAGAAGGTAGAACACAACTGGAAACCCAGGAATGTGTTTTTACCTCTTTTAGTGCAATTGAGACTTCTTTCTTGTTGTTATCACTGTGCTAGCATATGAATTTTGTATTCCACACTGTTCTTGACTGCTAACTTAGTCAAATCCTATAGGAACAATGCCTGTTCTGGTTTTCCTTTCAAATCTAGTATAATTAATCTGAAATTGTTCCCTCTCTTGAAGCTGTGTGCAAAATGAGCATACAGTAGTATGACGTAGCACTGGAAGAGCTTCAATCTTCTGCTTTTCTTCGTATGCCCAAAGAGATACTGAAGGTTCTTCTGTGCATAAGGGACCATCTATTTGCCTCTGTAGGCAGCCRGCCCTTTTCTAAATTTATCAGTATTCAAATCCAATTCCAGTCTTACAAAATCTATACAGCTGGCTGAATCATATAAAGAAAGACAAATGAAAAAGATGTGAAGAATGCTCTGTAAAACTAAKAAGTGATGCATTTCCATTATCCAATACGACTGAAATGCAAAAAGTAAACAAACCTGAGTGACACAAATTAGACTGTAAATCACGTGAATCACCATTAGCACTACAGGTCAGAGTTTTGCTAACAAAYATATACTCTTCAGAAAAAATATTTTAGCTGTTATTTTCCCATTAAGACTTTTTTTTTTTTTTTTAATGAGATTGACTGATTTTTAACTTTTTCTATGCCTAGTGTTTGAGAAAACACTAGACCTGTTCTCCTTAGGAATGCATCCATGCTTTAGTATTAAGATTTCATCTMCAAAATGACATCAACCTTTAGCAAATGAAAAATACTGAAGTTGGTCTAACGATAATGATAACGATAATGATAAAAATAAAAAGCTCTCACCAATGCAATCCACACTGAAGAGATTTACTGAGGTGGTTATGGAGGACTCATCACAGGATTTCATTCCTCGCAGGGCAAAGCGCACCAGGGAAGCCTTGACTCCCTCCGGCAGGAAGGACAGCAGGTAGACGGGCATGTAGAGAACGTAGCGGAGCTTGCAGAGCAAGGGCGTCATGAGCTTTCCTTGGGGTGACTGAGCCATCCGCTCGATGGTTGGGAAGAGCAGCACCGAGCGCAGAACCTGCGAGGCCACGAGAACAGTCGCTTTATTTAGTAAAAGAGGGAGGCAGTAAGAAGCTGGYAAGGAAACATTGAGCTCTGCGAGCCCGGCACCAGGTTGGGAAAGGGATGCCCAGCAGCGCGCGCTCCRGGACTCGGAGCTGGGATCCCACCAGAGGGCAGTGCGCAGGAATGTCACCACATTTCTCCCATCCTGCAGGGACTGGGAAAGTGAAGCATGAGACACAGATCCCGGCTTTTACATTTGCGGATCATTAGGCGCAAATTGCTATCATCTGTTGACAACTCAGCATAAAGTAAAAAGACACAGTTATTAGTTGCTGCTTACTGCACACATTMTTCAGCATTTTATCTAAATTAGATTAATATATTCTTTTTAAAAAATTATAAATAATTGTCTTTGTTAGCAAGTGAGAGTCAGCAAGCAAATGTCCTGCATCTGAATGTAGCTCCACTGGGTACACAGGTGAAAACCAGGCATGCCAGGACCAGGTGCTTATGAGCTCCGGGCATTATAATGTAGCCCACAGAAGAAATTCAGGAAATATCAGTAACTTGCTGTACTGCAATATTTCTGCAATATTTTAAAAGTGCTATTTATATCAGCGACAGAACTATTTTAAGAAATTTCTCCGCTTTCCAGCTGATATGACTTTGACTTTAGACAAAGAAAAATTCATTCGCAATCAGTCTTGGGCCTCTTTTTATTAAAGGCAACCACCAGCTGAAGTATAGGAATGCAGGACTTCTCCTAAATTATATGGTAGTTTTGTGATATTTCAGCTAGGAGCTGAACTCAAACTCTTGTGATCTAAAGCAGATTTGACCTGCGTTCCCAGGCACACATTAATCCTTTGACATTACAGTTTATAGATACAGGATTAGTTGCTTGGAGAGCTGCACTAACCACTGGGGGAAGTTGCTAAACCTTGAAGGCAAAAGAAGGACAAACCAAGAAAGCTGTTTTAATGTCCCTTGCATTCCTGCATTAAAAAAAAAAAAAATGGCACACAAGTTTAAAAGATAGTGGTAAAATGGAGGGTAATTTTGTTTAATTTCTTCACTTAATCTCTTGCAGACAATAAAAGAGAAATGTAAAACACATTTTTCMAACATTCAGCAACTATTTTTTAGTTTACTGCTGGATTGCAGAGCCAGGATTCTGAAATGTGTGTTTGCCGGCAGAATTGCTTAAAGATGTAGTTTCACTTCTTTGCAATACCACTATGGATAGAGCAGATTTTAAGTATTTTAGTAGAATGATACACATGTTCATTAAAGTAGTATGTCATATTTATGCTTTGAAACAAGTGAACTGGAAATACACGGGTATAACAAAGGAAATCAATGAGATTTAAATACCTATCATCAGTCAATATTTTCTGGCTTGTTGCACGTCAAAGTCTCACCTAAATGCAATATATATTAGTTGAAATCACTTTGATGATCGAGAAATGTATTCAGGCCACAACTTACAGAAATATTTAAAAACCACTGTTTGAAGACAGACAACATTACATATTATAAAGCACCAGACATTGCTACCATTATGAATGCCACTGTATATATTAAGTAATAAAAGCTAATCACTCCTTTGTGTATGAAAGTCCTTCCAACACTTTCTGATAGAAATCTCTTGTGATAACAGTCAGTCAAACCCCCAAAAGGTCATATTCAGATTCACCTGTATTACTCCTAATTCAAAGCCTACTGATGTTTATTAGTTTAACATGCAGGAGGGCAGAGAGATGGCAAGATAGAAACACTAGTTGCAGAGATTTTAAGAGGAATTGTGGATTTCTGAATGTTGGCTGATGAATCTACTTCAGGTAAACTTGGCCTGTGCTAATGATTGCCTGAGTGTTTCAGGTCTTACCACTTTTTCTGTGCTAAATTTCAATGTGATAAAAAACAGCATGAATATGCTTACATTATAGTGAACTGTCATGACAACTACCAGTACTTGTAAAATAGTCATTTTTTAAAGAAATTTCACAGTTATGTAACTAACATCCTTAGATTTCAACACTTAAGATGATACATACCTTTGCAATTAAAGTTCAATGTATAAGGTGTACTTTCTCTCTTACTTTGTCACAAGGGCAGTGTCTTGCATTTCCATCATAAATCTTTAACTTTTTAAATTACATGGGGTTCAAGAACTGAATGGCTACTGGAACAGGACACAGTCTTTCACATTTTAATATTTTAGGACTCTCATAACAACAAAGAATGAGTATTATTTGCATGCTCCTCACATAACACAGTTCTGGTCTCAGGGCACCTCAAGTGGTTACAAAATACCAAAAAGATTAGCAGGATGCTGGACTTGTACACAAAGAAGAAACTGGCCTCCACCCCAAATATATTTTACCATTTCTGCCTTCAATGAAGACACTATCTGGGAGGTGTGGGAACCTTKAAGGGTTTCAGTTGTCACTGTTTATGTACTTTAGTGTCTAGAGCTATCAGTTCATTGACTTCAGTTATTTATGATCCTCACAATAAATTTTACAAGGCAGAGAGAAGAAAAACTACTTAGTTAAGAGAAAGAGTAGGTCCTGAAAGCAAACAATACGAAATGCCCATTCCCTGGAAGCATTGCATTGGGCAAGGAGCTTTGTTTAGGCACTATAAATGTTAGGACTCCATGTGATCACTGCTTCATATAAATACTAAAGAATAAACAAATGCCTCCTGCAAACTACATATATATAAGGAATGCATATATTGCTTGGCTTTCTATCTAGCTTTCTATCCAGCTTAATCAAATACAATGGCAGTATGAAAACTAACAGCTATCACAGAGGATACCTTCTTTCCTCCACTTCTCTCCACTAGGACAAACATCTGAAATTCCACCATACACTTGTAAATCAGGAAAAAAATCTCACRTGGAGATTTTTTCACACTGTAGAGCTGGGCACTTGTGGCATTGGCTAAAAGACCCACATTTAGGTAACTGCCCTATTAGAACAGATTAGAATATAGAACATTTTCTTTTAGATTCATACATTTTCCCTWATGGAATCCAGAGGAGAAACTTAGATCATCATCTCCAAAAAAGTTCAGGGCACTCCCACCCAAAGCAGGGTCTATAGTGACAACTGAGTATGTGCAAGTCTTGAAAGGATAATTGCWATTTCAACATGTTTTTGGATTTGTTGAAGCAGCTGAAATATTTTGTTTTGATTAAACARAGACACAAAAACAAAAAGCCAATTTAATTCATAACAAACTGTTTATCACTGCACAATTTATTAAGCACAACCACATTAGCAAAAGATTTTTGTTTATACAATTTATACATCAAACTCATAAAAGTATGAAAATCAAATCAAGCAAAAACCCACTCCTGTTGACTAATGCCTTGCATGGGAAGAATTGAAAATGTTTTCAGCTATAATTTGACGTTTGTGTGGGTATTGCTACTTGTTTTAGTGACTGATAACGTTGAAGATATAACACCACATGTACAAACTCAGCTGCCACCTACAAGAAGCCTTCAAAAGGGTGACATGATCTTCAGAGTGTTACCTCTTGTGATGCCAAGGAGAACTTCAGAAGTTCAAAACTTTTGAAATCAGAAGTTTTGATTACAGATAAGAAATTCAGGCACCTTGGGTATAATTTCTTGAAATTATATCACCATGTCAAATGAGGGACAGTAGCTGTGGCACCTTGTGGCTTGCTCTTAGTATATATTGACCCTTTACTAAGAGAAACAAAAAGGTTGCTCTAGAGATAGAGTCAATGGCTGCTGAAGGGTCACCTCCACTTTTGAGTGGGAAGTATTTTGGAAATCATTCCCTGTTGTGGAATAATCTGATCTTAATAATTTGATGTGTACAAATGGTTAACAAAATAAACGCCACCAGAAAGCATGTAAGAGCTGAATTCCATACCAGTTACATAAGCCACACGTCACAACGAGCTCCAGAGATCAAATCAGCTGGCAGAAGCACGAAGCCATCTATTACTTTTTTATAGCCAATCCCTTACACTGACCCATGTTAAGCAAAGAAGTATCCAAGCACAATTCTAAAACTCCCATGTAGATCCATGCAGACACTCATCCTAGATCCATATCAACCCCACCAGGATGTGGGAAGATGATTTCAAAACTCATGGTTGGAAAGAAAACGAATGAGGAAGCTCTTTTCAAACAGACTGCTGATTCCTTCAAAAACCTCTGAAAARCAAACACCCTTTTTCTGTCAAAGTAACACTTATATTGATATATTTTAGTTCATCCCATATACTAGTTTATTATTTGTCTGCTGTGTTGGCAGAGGAGAAGCCATTATCTGTCAGGTGAAACCTAGTAAATTTTTCAAAGATAACATAATGATGCACTTAATGGTAATCTACAGTCTACCCTTGACATAGAGTGCCACATTAATCACAGTTTCTTTTACTCAGTATGCAGAAACCTGCAGGCAAAACAACTAGGGTCATGCAAGTATACCCTGGTTTATTAACACAGCTGTGCTGAGAAGTTTTCCAAGGAAATGCACGTGACAAAACAGCATTTGCTTATGCTTTCCTCTCACCAAAGCAAGACTCTCTAGACTTGCCGTTTGTTTGCCTTGTCACTATGCTAAACACAATCCAAAATTCTGTGGGTTTTTTTTTGTCTGCACACAGTACCTATCAATAATGAAGTATGTTTTAAAGTCTATAATCTTTTTCTCCTCAACTGTACACTGCGAGAACTTATTTCGTTTGCTGTACTGTTAGTTGCCTATCACAACTCAATCTGCAAAATCAAAAGATTTTGTAACAGGAAAAGGACTAAAGAAAGAACATYAAGTTACAAAAAAAATGTTATATTGCTGGTGTGCAGGAATGCCATAGGAAATGTGCACTTCCTTGTTTTTTTTTTTCCCTTTTCTTTTTTTCCATATGGATCTTCTGTGACCCTGAATGAGTGTTTTGGCTTTTTGTTGAACATTGTACCCGCAAGAGAGCAAACAGCTCAAACACAGTAAATAGAGAATC